AAACATTTTTATGGGTAAAGCTTTCAACCAAGAAGCTCAAGAATAATAGAGTTATGCAAGATCCCAATCTCTCTCTCTCTCTCTCTCTCTCTCTCTCTCTCTCATCTCTTGAAAACTTTCAACAGCAGCAACAACTAAAATGAAGAAAGACTAATGATATAATAAAGATGTTGACATTCTACAAAACTTCAAACAAAAAGTTAGAAAGAAAAACCCTATCAATACTAGAATTAGCGATAATCCTTAGTAAGCATGAGAAACCTATTTTCCTGAAAATTGTTTTGATAGAGTGATTTTATAAATTTCTACCGACCGTAAGACTGTCACTCAATGAATGTAGAATGTTTCCTCATAACGAAATGACTAATATTAACATTATAGCATACTTAAAAAAATAACTATTCCCATCTTATCAAACAAACCATATTAATAAAATGGCTTCTCGCCTCTACAGATATCAATCCAATAAAAGCCTGATCGACAATGAAAGGAAATATATATATATATATATATATATATATATATATATATATATATATTGATGCATGTTTCATTAAATTATATAGACAAGTTTTGTCTATTTATTCTAAGCAAATTCCTTTCTTATCGTCTGATAAGCTTAATAACATTATCATTGAAAGATGGATCGTTCAGTAGACAAGGTCGAATTTACTGCTTATAAACTTCAACTTCAATCTTCCATGAATCTCGTACATTCATAACTGCTCTGGCGTATCAAATGTAAACAAATGACGTCATATATTAAGAAATGGACAAAGTCCGACAATTTATTTATGAAGTTTATAAGCAGTAAATTCGACCTTGTCTACCGAACGATCCTTTGTGGCCGATTGGTAAGGCACGTCAGCGTAAATAACGGTTCCGTATAGGATGCAGGTTCGAATCCTGTCAAAGGACGAATATTTTCTATGAAAATTTCTCGGACATTCAGGCCGGTAAATGTTATTTAATACTGTTTATTATAAACAGAGCATTTACTTAAATACTTGTATCTATAAAAAGAACGTCAAACATAAAAATGTCTTTAATAAAATATATATATACATACATACAATTAATGGAATCCAAAATCTTTATTTGCTAAATGATGCCAGCATCCATGTGCACAGTTAAGATGAAATTTGGTTCCTACAACGCAGCTGTAAGTAAACGTCTGTCATTTGTATGAAAATTCGTGAATTATTTTGCAGTCTGGAAGCAATGTTTTAAGGATTATTTGACAGATAAAAGGCTAATGTTTAATAACTTGAGTGCTTTCAAAAGTTAAGCAACGCTGAAAATTACAAAAATGATGGTAAGTAACACCAAACTGTGATGAAATTCACAGTCGACTCAGATGCAGGTCTGATAAGGACAAGTCGGGGAATTTATCTCGCTGATCTGTGCCCCGTACCAAAATTAGAAGTTATCAAAAATCCGCCCTTGTTAAACTATGAGATTTGTAGGCGTTCTTTGCAGCAATGAAGTTTCAAAAAGCACATGACGTCGGGTCTCAAATCAAGTGGCAAAATATGTTAGACCAATCACAAGTACGCCTTTAAAATACATCTATAAGGAAAACCGAATGTAAGAAGCAATGAAATACATAAAATCCGATTTTTCAATTATTCTTTTCACTGAAGTATACTGTGGTACACTCGATGGGCCAGGATGGTATCCTAGAAGATGAATTAGTGGGTTCATTGCGATTTTCATATGGTGTTAAGATAGCAGGTAACGACAATGAATCAATGAGGGCTGGCGTAGAGTCCTAGTTCAAGATGGCGAAAGAATTAATGAATATACAAATAAAATAGGTTTAAAAACATTGGTTAGATCAACTGGTTGGTTTAATCAATTTTAATAAAAGCGGTTAATTCTACATTTCCTCTAGTGACTCAGGAATTTTAAGAGCATTATTTTAAGCATCATGATGAGTTCAATATTGTGTTCCATCTCTCACTGGGGCAATGTGAAAGCAGAATTAGTGATAATAATGGTAATATTAGCAGTTTCCTTACAAGGAAACATTTTGCATTCATTGACCGATCAGCCACTGCTACAGTGGGTTTTAATTTTCATAAACTGTTTGTATTAAAACATTTCTTTTTTTTTTTTTTTTTTTTGGTTTGTCAAGTTCACATCTCTCTTTTCAGTAATGATGGGCTTTCCTTCCTAACCTTTTGTTTGAAGTTATGTGGAATGTAAACATTTTGATTACGTCATTATTTTCGCTTCCCTTGTGATATGCATTTTAGCTGTTGGTCCTCCCTCAAGTGAGCTGGTTTCTGTCATCTGACACATTTCTTTCTTTGTGATTCTGTAGCGTCAGTCCATGAGGTTCGAAGAAGCATGGTCCTAGCTAAGAACTTCATGCTTCATTCACTCGAAGTATTTTTAACAATTATCAGAGAAAGCGGTTCTATGTAGGTTGCAGTTCATATATATATATATATATATATATATATATATATGACAAAATATAGTTTTAAACTATGCTATAATTATCGGTTAAAGTGCTCTCTAACAGGAATAGAGCACATGTAAATATAAAAGTGGACACTGAAGTTAACACTCAGAGGCGACAGTATATTTCCTGCTAAACGCAATCGTCAGGTCATGTGTTATGTTTTTGCTCGGCTATTTATATATACAGATCAGTGATGCATTGTGGGTAGTCTATTGTATTGCATTGTGGGTAGTATTGTTCTAATGTTTATTGCGGTGGGCTGTAACGGTTGTGTTTCGAATTATTCTAGGGGCTATTGACGGGGAATAATTATGGATTCAATTGGAGTTTTTTGCCTATTTATAGTGCTGTTCCTTAACTTTTTATTTATTTATTGATTGTTTATTATATATAAATATATATAAATATATATTAAAAAACGCATATTTTCTACGAAATTTCTCGAACATTCGGGACGGTAAATGTAATTAATGCTCTTTAATTAAAAAAAAAACAGAGCATTTACTTAAAGAAATTGCATCTATTAAAACAGCGTATAAACAGAAAATATATTTATAATTGTCGGATTTAATCCATTTCATTATATATATATATATATATATATATATATATATATATATATATATTCGTGAGTCGAAACCAACCTCAGTTCCAAAAAGGGACAGCCGTTTTCCTATATTTGAATCATCAACAAATTCACTACTAAAATTCAAACCCGGACAGTTACGTTATCAGACAAACGTCATACCAATTGTTCCAACGGGGCCTCGGTTTGGCATAATAACGTAACTGTCAGGGTTTCAATTTTGGTAGTGGATTCGCATTGTTGATGAGTCCCAAATATAGGACGAAACGGCTGTCCAGTGTTTTCTGCATTCTGTTGAGGTTTCTTCTAGACTCGATGAATTACTTAATTATAATTATCAAAACCTCCTAATTTATTTCTATCACACACACACACACACACACACACACACACACATATATATATATATATATATATATATATATATATATATATATATATACATATATATATATATATATATAATTAGATTGATCTCCACATTTTCTATACATAAAAGCTCTACTTATCTTTTTATATGTGTATCGAGCTCTTCTTTAATACTACTGTTTCTGGTCTAATTCAACTCTGGCTTAATTTTATATATATATATATATATATATATATATATATATATATATATATATATATATATAATTCAGTAAATGCTCTGTTTATAATAAACTGTATTAACATTTTCGGACATCAGGCCGGTAAATGTTGTTAATGCTGTTTCTTATAAACAAAGCACACATTTACTTAAATAGTTGTATCTATAAAGATAACGTATAAACAATAAATATAATAAAATTATTGTCGGACTTTCATAATATATGAAGTCGTTTGTTTACCTCAAGTTACGCTTCTAGCAGATATGAAGGTTTGAGGGAAATCATGGGAAATTTGTAGTTTAAAAGAAGTAATTCGATTTTGCTAGCCAGCTGCTTCCTCTGTAGCTAAATGCCATGCTATATGAGGGTTCTGTGTAAGATACAGGTTCGATTCCAGTCGGAGGACACATATTTTCTATGAAATTTCTCGGATATTCTGGCCTCTAACTGTAGTTAATACTGTTTATTATAAGCAGAGCATTTACTTAAATATTTGTATCTATAAAAAAAACGTAAAAATAAAAAATATATTAAAATAATTGTCGGACTTAAATTTGTATACGTGTTTGTATATAATATATATTCCTGTCAGAGGACAATAATGTATAAACAATATATATATATATATATATATATATATATATATATATATGTGAACGAGATACACTTCGACATGATGTAATGTTTAACAAGTTTGTCTCGCTAGATCAGTTACGACTGAATAGTGAGTTTTATTCTCACTGGGTGCTGCATACTTCGACCTTGTGCCACATCTATGCTACGCTTAGCAAGTTACTATATATATATATATATATATATATATATATGATTGGTGTATATGGAATAAATTCCAATAACCAAAAATACGATTCTTAAAGGAGTTTGATGTCATGCATGACATTCACATGCAAGACTCAATCAGACAAAGCTATTTATGAACATGATTTGCTTAATGCTTTCATTTTGTAGCAACTTGCGACGCTGTGCAGAACTGTCCCTATCGGAGACTATTCGCTATTAAATTTCCACTTTTGAGTGGCCAAAGATACATTACAGGACATTGTTGTATATTTACAATTCCTTGAAACAGAAATGTTTGGGCTAGATGGTTCAATTCTTTTTTAAATTTCTTCGTCGCCAGTTACATCAGACTCATAGCAATAGCAACCAAACTGGATTTCTCCAAGACATATCTACCCAACTATAAACATGCATTCAAAAAATACTATGTGCACGACAGAAAAAATATAATTTTACAGGGTATTTGCGGGAAAATAATACTGGAATAACTGGAATTCGAACTGGGATTTCTCATTCCGTGCCGTTGTCCATTACACCACTTGCAGAGCCAGGTTTACAGCAACTAGTATTCCCAAGTGATCACCCATCTAAGTACTAACTGGGTTCGAAGTTGCTTAAATTCGGTGAGGAGACGAGTACTGATGTTTCAACGTGATATTGCCATGAGTATAAAACATGAGCTCAGGTATAAATCAACACTATTTCCACCTAAAAAAAACAACAAATAAAACAATTTATATAAGAGAAAATTTGAATTGTTTTTAACAACGTCGAATGCTACTCTCGGCTCGAGTCGGTCACATAACACAGGTATCTTTCCTTTCCATCTTTTTACATAATTTGCCTTCATTTTTTTTTCCTGCATCGTCTTGTAATGAAATTTAACTGATAGAAAATAACTGAAAATAATGATACGTGAAAGAATCAATTTTTAATAGGTTCGTCTATCGTCCGCTTCACTCCATCTTTTTGGTCTATTGGACAGAAGTAGATATTTATCCCGTATTTCCTGTTTGAGGATTGTGTTTCCGGTTCTTTCTAAAGCGTTGTCATTCGCGTTCTCTTCCAGTATCCTCTACCGCCTTTTTGGCATCATATCCTTGTCTGGGGTGAATTGATTAAAATTAAAAAAAAAAAAAACATTACCAGAGTTCTATTTGGAAGTCTGTAAATACCTAAAAACTGGTGAGAGCGAAATCAAATATCTGCCATAATTATTCCTGTCGAACCGTGAATTGAAGATCGTCCTAAACGGGTTCTCGTCCGGCTCCTTGATCACGAACGCTGATGTCCCCCAAGCCTCTGTCTTGGGACCTACACTATTCCTGATGTTTATCAATGACCTTCCCGATGTCATCAGTTCCCAAGTTGGCATCTACGCGGATGACACCACTATTTACTACTGTCTCAATAGTAAATCTAGATTCGTTGACAAAACTAACCTGGTTACTGATCTCGAAATCTGTAGTTGACTGGTACAGGAAATGGCTTGTAAACTTTAATGCCTCCAAAACGAAATTGATGGTGCATCTGTTTCAAATACGTGATCCACTAATAATAAGGTTTAAAGCAATAAAAATATCGGATTACATATAAATCCATTAATTCTTTAGAAATTATTTCTTATTCGAAAGCAAAATACAAAATTGGTCTTCTGATTGCAAATCTCAACTGTGACTCTGAGTCTTTGTCTATTGAGCGGCAAATTACAAAGCAGGATCAAATATCGCATTCTTTTTATCTTTTTATATTAAAAATTTTGGCTAAAATAATTTTTCTTTGTAAACATAAAAAAAGGTGTCACTATTGGTAAAAGATTGGGAAAATCTTCTGTGTCTAGCCATCCAAAAATATTAAGCTCCTTTTTTTTTAACCTGTTGCAGTTTTTTTTTCTTCTATATTCAGTGTCCTTTCAGGACGTGGGCAATTCTTTCTCTCCACAACTTCCTATCGTTTGTTACTCTAAACACTGATTGTTTACTTACTACACCTCTTACTCTGCCATCTATGTTGAGAACCTCGTTAGGTAAGTAACTCAAATGTCTAGTTAGCCTTCATTATGTCCTGTGAGTGTCAAATTCTCCAAACTCTCTTTCCTCGTCATGTGTCCCAGAAATTTCAACTATATAGATTTTATGCCTTATTTTTCTACTTTAGAAAAACACATGGTTCGCTACGTGAATCAGTCTATAGAATTGAATCTGTTTTTTATTATTTTATTTAGTTCTGTAACACTAAAAAAAAAATGCTTACCTCCAGGATGAAAACGGATTCGGACGTGTCTCGCATGTAAAATATTCCCAGAAAAAAAATAGCGGCTTTACGAGTCGTATAAAAAAAACAGATAAATCTCGGAGTTAGACAGACATTCGCGAGAATCTCTTTTACATATATGCAAATTTGAACTGTCACTCAATCTATAAAAAAAAGGTCTTAAACGGGCGGCGACGAGAAGTGCGACCGTGGAAGCGAACAGGAGCCACGTGTTGTTGGGTTGTTTCAATGACGTTACTCTGTTGGTTGAAGGAAACGAATTAGGAAACTTCATTACAAACCAGAAGAAACTGACTACATATTCTTTTGACTCGTGTTTCTGACATGCTCCACATAAATACGCCAATAAATATTTCTTGGATTGTGTTTTTTCTTTCTCTAAAACAGCATTATACGTGACAGAAAGTTCAGCAACCTTGAAATGTTATATATTTTTATAGACTAATCATCTAACTTAAAAAATAAATAGTCCAAGCGCCATATTTAAATCAATCTAAACAATTGATTTTTTTCTCGTTCTGATTTTTTTTTTACATTCTTCAAACATACACCAATAGATATCTGTTGGGTTGGGAGTTCGTTTTCATTAAAATAACATCAAATAATTGCAATTATACTTAGTATTCTTAGAGCCAGACTCGAGAGAAAACGTATTTTGCACGCAATCTCTTTTAAGAGGCAACACTAAGTTATAGGAAACCAATTGGAGTAACAATGATCCGTATCTTACGATAACGCTTTTCAAAATAACTGAAATCAAATCATCCAATTAAAAGAGCGACTCATTTTCCACTTATTTTCATTCGGCCTACTGGATATCAAGAAGACTGAAATATATATTTTGATTGGTAAGGGTGGAAGCGAGTAAGTCTTATCAAAAGACACTATCTTTCAGGGACACTAGTTTTTTTTTTTCCTTTTTTTTTAAGATTATATGCAATTTCATTTTCTTTATGTACCGCGTCCATTCAGGGCGTAGTCGATCATAACTTCCTGTCCCTTGCAAATCATAATAAACTTTGTCTTTTTGTTATCCTTCCTAAAGCCTGTTCCGGCATCCATTTACTCAAGCTCACTAAGTATCTTATACGTTGTTTTCCTTTGCCCTTCTTGCCCTCTATCTGTCCCGTGAGTATCAGATTTCTCATGCCTTATTATGTGCTCCGGAAACCTCAACTGTATCTTCCTGATGTTTTTTTCTTTCTTTTTTTCCCATTATTTCTAAAACTACGTCGTTATTCACATGTTCAGCCCATGATATCCTCAGTATCCTTCTGTAGAACCACAATTCTGTTGTTTCTCTTTTTCATCTTTGAGGAGATTGTCCAGCAATCATTGCCACACAGGAGGACAGATTTCATGTAACAGTTTATTACTCCTTTCCTTGGTTTTAGCGGAATTTACCTTTCTTTGTATTATGCTTAGCTTTTGGAATGCTTCCTTGGCTATCTCAATACGGCTTCGGATTTCAGTGTCACACTTTACGTCCTCTGTTAAAACACTTCCCAGATATTTAAATTACGACACTTGTTTGATTTTACTATCTACGATTTGCAATTTGCTTTTTGGTTACATACTTTTGCTAACAACCACGAATTCTGTCTACTTGCAGTTGATGTATAATCTTTTCGCTTCGCTTTCTTTCACTATCTTTTGTAGCTTTCTTTCTGCGTCAGCTATCAACACTGTGTCATACCTTATTTTCACCCAAGAACTAATACTTTTTTGACACAGACTCACCACATTACAGTCTTATCTATATCAAGGCAATGGTAAATCGTTACCTATATTTCTTTTCCCCATAAACTTTACCATTTCTTCTTTAATTCATATCACGCAACTCATTCATCATAAGAATTTCAAGTTATCCTCTATATTTGGTAGATCCTGAGCCTCACATTGCGTTGATTTTGGTATAAAAATTGTTTCTGCCTGGAAGTTTCAGGTAAGTTATTGCAACTAATTTTTAATTTAATTTTTTTTCTTCTTTTTTTTCAAAACAGTTCCAGTATTTTTTCCAGTATCAATTTTGTCTTTGGCCCATTATTTGCAATAAATTCAGCGAACAGAGTTCGAGTTTTACGCACACCGTCCTGCAAAGTTATAACTAAATAACTCGTTACTAGCATGCTGCCTTGATTAACGGATGAGTGAGAAATTTGGAAGAACACTTTCCCCATAATGACCTTGCAGTAGCAGTAAAAATCTGTTACCTCTATAATCAGCCTTGACATAGACCAATAAAAAAAATACTTGCAACTGTCCAACAATGAAATGCAGCACGGGACAAAAATTTGTAAACGTTGAACATAATTTATTTCAATTTTCTTCGTTAATTTGCTATGTCCCTTCAAAACGTGGATGATCACGGCTCTCCACAACTTCGCCATCTTCTAAACTCTAAGCAATGTTTGTATTCTTACTATGCCTCCAAGTCGCTCTTCTGCCGTAAGTAGGCAAAATCTCTTTAAGTAATTTTCTCGGTGCTTCCTTCTGCCCTCTCTTTCTTGCTTCGACAATTAGTTGGAGATTTGTCTCCAGCTAAGCTGGTCGAACTCTCAGCCGAAGTGGGGAGAGGAACCCAGACGAGGCTATGCCGAAGGGCAGAGTCTCGTCTGGGGTAATAGACAGCTACCCGACCCCGTTTTTTACGGGGAATTTTTGCCCGAGCCTACGGGCTCGGACCCCCCACGTTAAATTCGGCTTTGTGCCACATCTGACCGCGTGGGGCGGTTGGCAAATATCCTTCTGCCCCCTCTTACATTCAATAAACTATTTGTCAAATTTTCTGTTCTCATCATGATTCCCAGAAATTTTAAGTTTCTCTTTCTGATTCTATTTATAAAAGTCATTTTTGTTTCTATTATCCTTAAAACTTCCTCGTTGTTTCCATGCTTTCTCCATGGCATTGTCAAGATTCTCATGTAGAACCACATTTCTGTTGTCTCAAGTTTCTTCCCCATCTGTGACGAGAATCTCCAGCATTCACTACTATATAGGAATACAGATCTTACATTACTGTCCAGTACCCTGTTCTTTGTTTCCAGTGAAATGTCGTTGGTTTTGTCAATACTTTTGGGTGGCATCACTGCACCTTCGTATTTCGGTAGCTTATTATTTTCCATCGTCTGTTAAAACCTTTCCTAGATATTTAAATTTTTGCACTTGTTTAATTTTGTTATCTCCAAATTGCAATTTAATTGGAAGATTTGATTTCAGTTGTCCTCATCTTTGTCGCCATATTTATTACAACGTTTCGGCCGTTGTACGCCTTTGGACTTCTTCAGGTGGTTGGAATGTCGAACTGAACCCTTTATTTCGTTCACTGTGGTAGACTGTTCTAGTTCCACGTGCCATGTCTAATAGATGTCATTTATCAGTTATCTCCT